CTGGGCACTGATGGGTGGCACCAATGGGCACTGATGGGTGGCACTGAGGGGTGCAACTGCTGGGTGGTACTGCTGGGCAGCACTGATGGGTGGTACTGATCGGCACTGAGGGGTGGCACTAATAAACACTAATGGGCACTGGTGGGAGGCACTGCTGGACAGTGGTGGGAGGCACTGACAAGCACTGATGGGAGGCACTGCCGTTGCACTGGTGGGTGGCACTGCTGAGCACTGATGATCAGGACACTGATTATCAGTGCCGATCTGCTCTGTGACAGTTGCCGGTTATCAGCAGTACTTTCCTCATGCTGTAACAGCGTGAGGTAAGTGCTGCCGATAACCGGCAACTGTATTTACTCCGTGATCTGCTGTGTCGTTGGGCCACTGTGATTGGCATTTTACCTAATCACATGATGAGCTGTGTTCGTAGGACACAGCGATCACGGAGAGCGTCAGGTGCATGCCGCTGGGGTCGTGCGGGAGGGCGTGTTCTGGGAGGACGTCATATGACGCCATCCCAGAACTGGACAACCGCATTGTAGCCGTCTTTCAGTTGGGAAGAGGTTAACCGCTAGCCTACAGGGCACTTTTACCCCCTTCCTGTCCAGGCCAATTTCCAGCTTTCAGCGCTGTCACACTGTGAATGACAATTGCACGGTCATACAACACTGTACCCATATGAAATTTTTATAATTTTTTTTAGACAGATAGAGCTTTATTTTGGTGGTGTTTAATCACCTCTGGGTTTTTTATTTTTTACTAAACAAACCAAAAACAACTGAAAATTTTGAAAAAAAAAGTTTTTTCTTAGTTTTTGTTTTAAAATTTTGTAAATAAGTGATTTTTCTCCTTTACTGATGTGCGTTAATGAGGCTGTAGTGATGGGCACTGATAGGCTGCACTGATGGGCACTGACAGGTGGCACTGATGAGGAGGCACTGGTAGGTGGCACTGATGAGCATTGACAGGCATCACTGATGGGCACTGAAAGGCAGCACTCATATATGGCACTGATAGGTGGCACTGACTGGCACTAATAAGCGGCACTGACTGGCACTGTTAGGTGGCACTGATAGGCAGCACTGACGGGCACTGATAGGCGGCACTGACTGGCACTGAGAGGCATTGATATGTGGCACTGACTGGCACTGATAGGTGGCACTGATAGGCAGCTCAGATGGGCACTGATATGTGGCATTGATGTGCACTGGTAGGCACTGATATGTGGCATTGATGTGCACTGATCGAGGAACACAGCGCACTGCCAATCGCCGCGCTGCACGCTCCCGGAGCCACGCATGCGCGGTTAGAATGGGAGGACGTCATATGACGAGAACGAGAGAACCGCCTTGCGCCCGTCATTACCTTTTATGACGGGCGGGAGGTGGTTAAAGAGATGAAACTATAATTCTACCAATTTACAAAACTGGTTCGGACACATCTTCAGTATGTCATCAGTTCTGGTCACCAATCTACAAGAAGGATGTCCTTGAACAGAAGAGAGTCCAAAAAGAACAACAAAGATAATAGGAGGCTGGAGGACCTAAGTTGTGAGGAACAACTACAAACATTAAACTTATTCTCCCTTTAGAAGAGACACTTAAGAGGAGATATGATCACAATATACAAATCATGTTTCTAGCATTGGGAGGAAATTATTTAATCTTAGGTCTTTAAGAAAGACTTGTGGCCGCACAATAAAGTTGGCAAAGAAGCAGTTCAATCTTAAATTGCATAAGGGGTGCTTTACTGTTAGAGAGATGAGGATGTGGAACTCCCTTCCACAGATGGTGGTGTCGGCGGGGAGCATAGGTAAGTTAAAAAAAACCGTTTAGATACGTTTCTTAGCGAGCACAATGTACAGAGATATGGAAAATATCAGGCACACACAAATGCGCACACACACACGGTTGACGAGTGGTGTCTTTATTCAACCTTACCAGCTATGTAACTATGTATTATTGGAGTAAATTATCCTCATTGCATACAGTGTTCTTACAACTGTAGCGCTACCCACATAGGAGCCGCTGCACGTTAGCTGGTTCTTTCCAAAAAATTGGTGCATCTGGGCACACAGCACTAAACCTTTCACTCCAGCTCAATAAACAGTCTAGGGATGTCTTTTTGTATTTTTATTGCTGCGGAAACTTGGATAGGGTGTAGAGTGGTATGGGATACGCCAGAGACATTGAATAATGAAAGGAGGACACTTCACTTTGCTAAGTCTCTCTAAACAGTTTTATTGCAGGAGGAAGATGGATAGTTCTTGTAAAAGCTATCTATGTTAAAACTACCACAGGCCCTTCTACCCAAAGGGAAACTGCACACAGTCACTAGGGCCCTGAGTTCAGGTCAGTACTCACAATGCCACAGGATCTCCGGATGCCTCCTTCCATTATCCACGAGACACTCTTCAGTGAGGGAGAAATTAATGCTCACAATTGTTGTCTTATTATAATGAAGTCCACACAAAAACAGTTCAGAAGACAAATCTGTTGTCTTATATCAATAATGGAGGACATATGACCAGTGGATATTTCTATGTGTACTATTCCCACAGCAACCAATAGACCTTTTCCAGAGAGATGCATTTATTCGGATAAAGATATTTGTTACAGATAACAGAAATTCAGCTGAATATTTGTAAAGATTACAATGAACAACAGCCCTCAAAGTCCCATTCAAGATACTTCATATCAAGCATAGAGATAGTACACCATCCAGCATATGTCCGATATATAATATGCACCTAGGTATCTTCCATGCATGCAATAATGTGAGTTATGATCGATACCTGTCCTGTCACCTGGGTTTTGTCACCCGTATCCTGACCTGTGCTCTGTCCCCCGTATCCCCCTTGTGCTCTGATCTCTTTGTTCTGTGTGAGTTAATATACACATTTTCCCCATTTAGTACAATGGCAAGCACTCTGACTGCCCACTTTTAGTAGCATGTTTGATCTTATGTGTCTAGACATGAAACTTCCCCTGACTCTCCATATATTTACCCAAAAACAGGTTAACCCAACATGACAAAGGTAATTACCTCCTGCATACATTAACATAGTAAGGAGTTCATTTGGTGTGTAAAGTAGTCATATCACTGAACAGTATGTGTTTCAATGTCTTAAATACATATACATATATATTACACACAATATACTACAACAATGCCACAGGACAGCAGGATACCTCCTTCCAACTTCCACCAGACACTCTTCAGTGAGTTCTCCAGACCAGGTTCTTAGGCTCCCCATCTATGCCACAGCTGGGACCTTAATGAACATGCAGAAAAGTTCCAGCAATCTGTCCAGAGGGAATCCTCCTGCAGAACTAGACTCAGGACTTATGCAGGCCATAGATGGGATGAAAAACGTCCGAAAATCATCCGAAAAAAAAAAAATCGTCCGATTTTCGAATCGTTAGTGCGGTAATCGGTCGGTCGTTTTTAGTGATTTTTGACCTTTTGGATTATCGGTCCTGCAGGAAAATAATCGGCCAAATTTGTTGTTCTGCCAATTTTCGCGGCAATGATGGACAAATCTGCTGATCTTTTTCCGATTTTAAAAAATGCGCATGAGCAGTGACATGAAAGAAGAAGGAAAAGAAGAAAAGGAAAAAAAGAGAATATGAATGAGAAGAGAAATAGAATATAAATAAAAAGAGGAAATAGAATATAAAGAAGGAGAAATAGAATATGAATAAGAAGAAGTAAAAGAAGAAATAGAATGTGAAGAAGATGAAGTAAAAGAAGAAATAGAATATGAAGAAAAAGAAGAAATAGAATATGAAGAAGAAGAAATAGAATATGAATAAGAAGAAGGAAAAAAAAAGAATTTCAGTCCAATATTATATTTGACATTTAAAAGTATAGCAACATTGTATCTATTTGTATCCTAATAGAAACATCTGTATCCGAAATGGATACAAATAGATACAATGTTGCAACTTTTCTTATTATTATTCATATTCTATTTCTTCTTCTTCATATTCTATTTCTTCTTTTTATTCATATTCTATTTCTTCTTCTTCTGCATATTCTATTTCTCCTTCTTCTGAATATTCTATATAATTTCCAGCCGTAGACGGGACAAAAATCAGCCGACTTTTTTTCACCAATGGTGGTAACGTCGGCTGATTGAACGACCAATTTTTCGTTTTTCTAAAAAAAAAATGGCCGGTTTTCTCCCTGTCTATGGCCTGCATTAGATCCAGAGCTTAGAACTGGACTGTGCCAGGCCTTGGACTATTTATGAGCTCTACAGCAACCTACTGGGCACATTCCTCCAGGGATGAGCTGAAATCCCATAAATATTCAGATTACTCATCTGCCTTTCCAGTCCACTATGATTCAAGAATTCTCTAGAATGCATGGGAGGAACTGTCAAATTAGCAGCCTGTGATGTACAGATCAGTCCAAAACAATCAACAACTGCTCCACTGACTACAGAGGAGACAAAAAAAAAAAGAACTACATTTGCCTAATATCCTAGCAACCTAACTAGGAGGGTGCTACAAAACAATAATAGAGAGACAATATAAATGTAATTAAAGTCTGTTTTAAAATAAAATGTCAACTTATACATTTTTGTTTAAAAAAAAAACCCAATAATGTCACAAATTCTTCTTTGTAATATAAATAAATGACACTGTAGGTGTAGGAGGTAAGGTGATGCAACATTAATTGGAAGTGGCATAGGACCATAGGACACACTTGCAACTAAGCTCAGACTTCTGAGGTCTTTAGAGCATTTATGCAAAATGTTCTCTACATTGCATCATCTTGAACAAATGTACAGCTTAATGGCATTTCAGGGAGAGCAGATACTCCATTCTAGGTTAAGGGGGTCATAGGATTTGGTTGGTTAGATGCAGGCAGGGTGGACTGACAACTCATGGGACCCCTGGGCAATAAGAGATAAGAGGTTAATCCTCTGCATTGTGTAAAAACGCTGTTTGATCCTGTCTTCTCTGATCCTCCCATTCTACTGTCCCCAATCCATCTACTATTAAACAGAGACTTGGGGGAAAGCTACACATGCTCAGTTTGTGTGTATTACTAGAGAGTCAGCAGAGGGCCAATCAGCACTGTCAAGACAGAGGGTCAGGGGTTATGCAGTCTCAGGGCCACTGTTAGGAATCATGGGGCCCCATACAGCCTACCTGACAGGGCCCCTTTTGACCCTCTGGCCCCGCACTTGACCACACCCCTGGTCCCTCCCCTGTCTCAAAACAAAATGCATCTTTGTTTTCAAGTGCATCCAGTAGAAGGGGGAACAGTTACAGATACAAGTGTAAATGAGGATACAGGGCTTTTTTTCTCAGAAAATAGGTGCAGAAACTATCACGCCCCCATCGCACCACTTGCCATCACCATCATTACCACAACCCCCAGTGTGCTACATACAGAATGCAGAGTTCAGTACTGCGCGACATAGAGTGCAGGATTCAGCAGTGTATTACCCAAAAAAGTGCAGAATTCAGCAGTGCCCTATGTACAAAGTGCAGAGTTCAGAAGTGTGTTACAGTTGGAGCGCAAGATTTAGCAGTGTGCTGATAACAGAGTGCAGAATTGAGTAGTGTGCTACGTACAAAGTGCAGAATTCAGTGGTGTGCTATGAACAGATTGCAGGATTGAGGAGTGCACAGTGTACAGAGGGCAGGGTTTGGGAATGCGCTGTGTACAGAGTCTGCAGTATACAGGAGCCAAGGTCCAGGGGTGTGCTACGTACAGAGCGGGCAGTGTACAGAATGCAGAGTTCAGGGTACAGAGTACAGAGTGCACAGTGTATAGAGTGAACATTCAGGAGTGCTCCACATACAGTGTTCAGGAGTGTGCTACGTGCAGTGTTCAGGAGTGTTCTGTGTGCAGCATTCAGGAGTGCGCTAGGTACAGCATTCAGGAGTGCGTTACGTGCAGTGTTCAGGAGTGTGCTATGTGCAGTGTTCAGGAGCGCGCTACATGCAGTGTTCAGGAGTGTGCTATGTGCAGTGTTCAGGAGCGCGCTACATGCAGTGTTCAGGAGTGTGCTACGTGCAGTGTTCAGGAGTGTGCTATGTGCAGTGTTCAGGAGTGTGCTACGTGCAGTGTTCAGGAGTGTTCTGTGTGCAGCATTCAGGAGTGCACTAGGTACAAAATTCAGGAGTGCGCTAGGTAAAGCATTCAGGAGTGTGCTACGTGCAGTGTTCAGGAGTGCGCTACATGCAGTGTTCAGGAGTGTGCTATGTGCAGTGTTCAGGAGTGCGCTACATGCAGTGTTCAGGAGTGCGCTACGTGCAGTGTTCAGGAGCGTGTTACTACGTGAAGTGTTCAGGAGTGTGCTATGTGCAGTGTTCAGGAGTGTTCTGTGTGCAGCATTCAGGAGTGCGCTAGGTACAGCATTCAGGAGTGTGCTACGTGCAGTGTTCAGGAGCGCGCTACATGCAGTGTTCAGGAGTGTGCTACATGCAGTGTTCAGGAGTGTGCTACTTGCAGTGTTCAGCAGTGCGCTACGTGCAGTGTTCAGCAGTGCGCTACGTGCAGTGTTCAGCAGTGCGCTACATGCAGTGTTCAGGAGTGTGCTACGTACAGTGTTTAGGAGTGCGCTACGTGCAGTGTTCAGGAGTGTTCTGTGTGCAGCATTCAGGAGTGCGCTAGGTACAGCATTCAGGAGTGCGCTACGTGCAGTGTTCAGGAGTGTTCTGTGTGCAGCATTCAAGAGTGCGCTACGTGCAGTGTTCAGGAGTGCTCTACGTGCAGTGTTCAGGAGTGCTCTACGTGCAGTGTTCAGGAGTGTTCTGCATGCAGTGTTCAGGAGTGTTTTGCGTGCAGCATTCAGGAGTGCGCTACCTGCAGTGTTCAGGAGTGTGCTGCATTCAGCATTCAGGAGTGAGCTACATGAAGTGTTCAGGAGTGTGCTGTGTGCAGCATTCAGAATATTTCCCAGATATAGTGAATGCAGGGTCCTGGGAGACCAGATATAGTGAATGCAGGGTCCTGGGAGACCAGATATAGTGAATGCAGGGTCCGGGGAGACCATATATAGTGAATGCAGGGTGCGGGGAGACCGGATATAGTGAATGCAGGGTGCGGGGAGACCGGATATAGTGAATGCATAGGGTGCGGGGAGACCGGATATAGTGAATGCAGGGCCCAGGGAGACCAGATATAGTGAATGCAGGGTCTGGGAAGATCAGATATAATGAATGCAGGGTCCTGGGAGACCAGATATAGTGAATGCAGGGTCTGGGGAGATCAGATATAGTGGATGCACGATCTGAGGAGAGCAGATATAGTGAATGCAGGGTCTGGGGAGACCAGATATAGTAAATGCAGGTCTGGGGAGACCAGATATAGTAAATGCAGGGTCTGAGGAGAGCAGATATAGTGAATGCAGGGTCCGGGGAGACCGGATATAGTGAATGCAGGGTCCGGGGAGACCGGATATAGTGAATGCAGAGTCTGGGGAGATCAGATATAATGAATGCAGGGTCGGGGGAGACCGGATATAGTGATTGCAGGGTCCGGGGAGACCGGATATAGTGAATGCAGGGTCTGAGGAAAGCGGATATAGTGAATGCAGGGTCCGGGGAGACCAGATATAGTGAATGCAGGGTCCGGGGAGACCAGATATAGTAAATGAGAACCCCGGGGAGGGGAGACCATTGATTTATAAATGACGTTCAGGGTCTGAGGAGAGCAGATATAGTGAATGCAGGGTCTGGGGAGACCAGATATAGTGAATGCAGGGTCTGAGGAGACCAGATATAGTGAATGCAGGGTCCCGGGGGGAGACCAGATATAGTGAATGCAGGGTCTGAGGAAAGCGGATATAGTGAATGCAGGGTCCGGGGAGACCAGATATAGTGAATGCAGGGTCTGAGGAGAGCAGATATAGTGAATGCAGGGTCCGGGGAGACCGGATATAGTGAATGCAGGGTCCGGGGAGACCGGATATAGTGAATGCAGAGTCTGGGGAGATCGGATATAATGAATGCAGGGTCCGGGGAGACCGGATATAGTGAATGCAGAGTCTGGGGAGATCGGATATAGTGAATGCAGGGTCTGAGGAGACCAGATATAGTGAATGCAGGGTCCGGGGAGACCAGATATAGTAAATGCAGGGTCTGAGGAAAGCGGATATAGTGAATGCAGGGTCCGGGGAGACCAGATATAGTGAATGCAGGGTCCGGGGAACCAGATATAGTGAATGCAGGGTCCGGGGAGACCAGATATAGTTAATGCAGGGTCCGGGGAGACCAGATATAGTAAATGCAGGGTCTGAGGAGAGCAGATATAGTGAATGCAGGGTCTGGGGAGACCAGATATAGTAAATGCAGGGTCTGAGGAGAGCAGATATAGTGAATGCAGGGTCCGGGGAGACCGGATATAGTGAATGCAGGGTCGGGGGAGACCGGATATAGTGAATGCAGAGTCTGGGGAGATCGGATATAATGAATGCAGGGTCCGGGGAGACCGGATATAGTGAATGCAGGGTCCGGGGAGACCGGATATAGTGAATGCAGGGTCTGAGGAGACCAGATATAGTGAATGCAGGGTCCTGGGAGACCAGATATAGTGAATGCAGGGTCCGGGGAGACCAGATATAGTGAATGCAGGGTCCAGGGAGACCAGATAAAGTGAATGCAGGGTCCAGGGAGACCAGATATAGTGAATGCAGGGTCCGGGGAGACCAGATATAGTGAATGCAGGGTCCGGGGAGACCGGATATAGTGAATGCAGAATCCGGGGAGACCAGATATAATGAATGCGGGGTCCAGGGAGACCAGATAAAGTGAATGCAGGGTCCAGGGAGACCAGATATAGTGAATGCAGGGTCCGGGGAGACCAGATATAGTGAATGCAGGGTCCGGGGAGACCGGATATAGTGAATGCAGGGTCCGGGAGACCAGATATAGTGAATGCAGGGTCCGGGGGGAGACCGGATATAGTGAATGCAGGGTCCGGGGAGACCAAATATAATGAATGCGGGGTCCAGGGAGACCAGATATAGTGAATGCAGGGTCCGGAGAGACCGGGTATAGTGAATGTAGGGTCCGGGGTTTAGTAACACTTTAAAGTCGCTGAAACCACCTTAAAGTAGAACTATAGGCAAAACTTTTTTTTTCATTTTGGACAGAGAATGGGAGGGTTAACACCCATCAGTTTTTTTTCGCCATCTGTGTCCCATTGGGGAGATTTCCCTTCATTTCCTGTCCCATAGCCAAAACAGGAAGTGGGAGGAAATCCCTGCAAAGGGAATTCCTTGGGGGCCCCTAGGTCACCAGAACTAGCATCCCTATTGGAAGATGTCCTTTCTATTACTTTTCTGGGGACAACCCAAAATTCAGGATTTTCTTTTACTTTTACTTTCAATGATATTGGTAAACAGGACAAATTGAGAGGTCTTCTTAACGGTGGGGGGGGGCACAGACAGCAATAAAAACTGACAAGCGTTCTAATCCCTCTGCACTTTATCCAACTTCCCACCCATAAAGAAAGTTTTGTCTTTAGTTATACTTTAATCTGCTCCTATATTTTTAAATACAATTGTGGTGAGAGATGACCCGTGGTGTAATGGGTGTGGTCATTCTTCGGAATCCCTCATCCACCTCATGCGTCCATGTCGCAGTTGAAGAGATATTGGGCTGAGGTGGTCGCTACCTTAAATGGCTTATTGGGGAGTAATATCCTAGTGGGTCCTCCTATGTGCCTGGACGGCCATATTGATTTTTCTTCTATGGACCATGATTTGGTGTTTACCATTTCTAGAACTTTACTTATAACTTGTAGGAAGAGTATACCTAAATGGACCTCCCCTCCCCCACCAACTCTTTGGCTCCATTCACATCTGAGCGTTTTTCATGTGATTTCTCGTGCATATTTTACTGCGATTTTGCACGCTTTTGTGTGTTTTCATACAGCGTTTTTAGCCGTTTTTGAGCTTTGCCATTTTTTTATTAGCCAATAGAGAAAAATATAATTTGTTGCTAGGTTTTTCTGCGTCAGCTTTTCCATTAGCTTTTATTTTATTTTTTTAATAAATATTATTATTATTATTATTATTATTATTATTAATAATAATAATTTATTATTGTTTTGTTTTTTTTGTTAGGGTAAGTGGTTAGAGTTAAGGTTAGGCTAGGGTTAGGGTTTGGGTTATGAATAGTATTTTATTTTTTATTTTCTTATTATTTATTTTGTTTGTTAGGGTTAGAGTGAAAATAATAATAATAAATTAATAAATACATGTAAAATAAATACACAAGTAAATAAAAATAGTGATAAATAAATACTATGTAATAATAAATAGATAATAATGAACCCCTATATATAAACAAAAAACTTTTGCGCTAGATGCGTGATCAAATACAAATCATAAATAAAATAAATTAAATAACTAGTGATAATTTGTAGTAAACAATGCTTCCACTTCTAAACAAATAAATCTGATCAACAAAAGAACCCTCAAAGTGATTCAGCAGCGCAAAAAAAATATATATGTATGTGAATAAATAAATAAGTAAGTGATCATTCAACATAGGTGAAAAACAAAATAAAAAGTCCATAAAATGTCTTTTCCACCAAATGAATCTTCTAATTCCCAAAAAGAAATCACCATGTGCAAAAGGATGGCATCCCCCTTTCGGGTGTGCACTCACTGGATAGCCATGCCCTCATTCTCATGGCTGGCTAGAATCGCTTATAAAGTGAATCCAAATGGGAAGGAAATCAACCAAAATCAATATTGGATCTAATCCACCCTACGGGGATCGTCGGCTTTCTTGACAACTTACCTTTGTGGAGCGGTCCGGGGTCACCCCCTATAGGTTGCATGCCGATGATCCCGCAGGATGGATTGGATCTGCAGATTGGGGAGTATAATGGATCGGACTCCGATCCATTATGCTCAATCCGTAGATCCGATCCATCCTGCGGGGAACATCGGCATGCAACCTATACGGGGTGACACCGGACCGCTCCAAAAAGGTAAGTTGTCAAGAAGGCCTACGATCCCCGCAGGATGGATCGGATCTGCGGATTGGGGAGCATAATGGATCGGAGTCTGATCCATTATCCTCAATCCGCAGATCCGATCCATTCTGCGGGGATCGTCGGAGGGGGTGTCACCAAGTGTCATCGCACCGGGTGACACCAACCCTAGAGACTGACCACTTGGAAACTCGGGCACTGCCCGAGGGCCCGGGGTCAGTAGGGGGCCCCGATGGGATGCCCCTGGTACCTTTTTTATAGGCTTTTTTGAGCTTGAGCAAGGACACAGGGGCCCCATGATCCCCTATTGCCCGGGGGCCCCATGAGTTGTCAGTCCGCCCTGGAGACGCCCCTGCTGCTATGAGAATCTGGGGACTGAGGAAGCTGTGGAGGCTAGACCACTAATCCTGAGAGAGAGATTGGCACTTTGAACATCGATCATCGTACGGACCTCTCTGTGAGGTCCCAATCATGTGATCACTGATTGGCCAATCAGTGATCACATGAGCAGTAGTAAACAAGATGTCATTTCCTGACATCATTGCTTACTACGTGTGAAATCTGTGAGTGATCACAGAGGTCACATGGTACAAGGATATTCACAACAGCCTTGTACCATGTGACAAGCTGTGACCAATCACAGCTCACTCGGTAGTTCTCAATGGCTGCAAGAATGCAGCCAGAGAGAAGGAGAAATGATTGCTTTTACAGCCTTTATGGGTGTAAAAAAGCAATCAGTGTAAAAAAAAAGAAAAAAAAATCACCACCCACAAGTAGTACAGTGTCACTATGGTGACACTGTATTGCTAGGGTGACAGTAAGTAAAAAAAAAAAAAAAAATAAATAAAAAAAAAAAAAATAAAATAAAATAGAAAAATTATAATATAAACTAATTTGGGCTATTTTTTTTATTAAAAAGATAGCTGAATACATTTTAGTCAAGATTTATGAAGAAAGATGATTTATTTGCAAATTTTATAAGAAAAACACTTTTTTTTTTCAAAATGTTTGGACTTTTTCATTTATATAGCAAAAAAAATAAAAATCCCAGTGGTGAATAAATACCATCAAAATAGAGTTTTATATTTCTCAAAAAAATGCTAAAATATTCATATGGGTACAGTGTTGCATGACCACGCAATTGTCATTCAAAGTGTGATAGCACTGAAAGCTGTTTGGCCTGGGCAGGAAGGGGGTAAAAGTGTCCGGACTTGAAGGGGTTAAAGTATACCTAAAGGAAAAAGTTTATTTTTAGTTTTGGATAGAGTAGAGAGGGATTTAACCACTTGCCTACCGGACACTTTCACCCCCTTCCTGCCCAGGCCACTTTTCAGCTTTCAGTGCTATCACATTTTGAATGACAATTGCGCGGTCATGCAACACTGTACCCAAGTGACATTTATATAATTTTTTAGACATATAGAGCTTTCTTTTGGTGGTATTTATTCGCCACTTGTTTTTTTTTATTTTATGCTAAACAAACAAAAAAAAGACCAAACATTTTGAAAAAAAAATGTCTTAGTTTCTGTTATAAAATTTTGCAAACAGGTAATTTTTCTTCTTCACTGATGTGTGCCTATGAGGCTGCACTTATGGGTACTGATATGCAGCACTGATGGGTAGTGATGGGTACTGGTGAAGCAGCAATGATGAGACTGCACTAATAGGCAGCACTGATGGGCACTGATGAAGCAGCACTGATGAGGCTGCACTGATGGGCACTGATAGGCTGCACTGATGGGCTCTGATGAGGAGGCACTGGGACAGGAAGCGAAGTAAAATCTCCTCAATGAGAGAGATGAGAAAAAAAAGCTGTCAGAGGTTATAGCTCTCCCTTACTCTATTTAAAATAGAAAAAAAATGGTTTGCCTTTAATTCTACATTAATTTCACTTATCCTATTGACTCCAATGCATTTCTCCAAAATGGCAACATGACAATGACATTTCACAGTTTCCCAGAATTTTGAGTTAATGAAAAGTTTCTCATTACCGGGTCTTTATAAAGTGCTAAACCATCAGATTTTCTTTTTTTAGATTGGAAACTGCTGAATTACAGTAAAATAGCGACAACAACGTTTGAAATTGTATTCCCATGTTAAAGCTTACACAGGATTTATTGGTTGGGTGTCCACCTTACACGGCTCGCAAATAACGAGCCAAAAGGCAAAAGGTACTAATGGTGAAGCACGTCTTTATTCTGATAAATCAACTTAAAATCAGTATAAAACTCACATTAAGAGTTTCAGGTATTCTCCAAACATATTCAAGGATCCCTGGTGGTCAGTGGTTCCCTGGTGGTTAGTGGCGTCTGCTGGGTGGATCCCCTTTAAGACGTGCTTCACCATTAGTACCTTTTGCCTTTTGGCTCATTATTTGCGAGCCGTGTAAGGTGGACCATCTCAGGAAAAGTACCACCAGGAGGCTGGACGTCGTTGGACCCACCGGTGAACCAGATGTGACCCCCGAGTGTTTGCTGAGGCCCCCGAGTGTCTATCGTGGATGACCGGTTACTGTTCTCATTGCTGTCCAGGCCTTTTCCAGTTGCTGATGGTATACCTGATGACATGCATACAACGCTCAGATTGTATGTTCCTGTGGTAAGTGCATTATTGTACTAGACTCTTCGGGATTTTAGATCAAATGAACTTCTGAAGCTCCTGCTATTTGTGTACATCTCACATGTGTTCAATCCACAGGAACGTTTTTTTTGCTGTGTTTATTCATCACATACCAGACTTTCTGTATTCAAGTTTTTTTTGATATTATGTTCCAGCGATTATGCTGAGATTTTGTGCTCAACATTACATTATCTATTTATGGCGCTGCATATTCCAATTATTTATATTTAAAATATATTTTTCTTCCATGTGGGAAATTACAATATACATCCCAAAAGCCTTCATGGGCATTTTTTTCCTTTCATCTGGAGGAAGAAGGGAGGCTCTTTCTCAGTTAAGCACACTCTCCTACCTGAGCTAAGGGCAGATTGATTCCAGGGAGTAAATAATACATGAATCATCTGCCCTTGCTCAAGATAGCTGCAACTAGAAATGCTAAGATGGTGTTTTTCTCAACAAAATAAAGCATGGAAAGGATGGATGAGTTTGCTTTTAATATTAAGAATGAATTAAATAGCATTTTTGGTATGTGGTGCTCAGAGACAGTTTAATTCCTACATGGAAGAAAGATATATTTTAAATATATCTTAAAAATATTCTTCCCAAATATACTGAATATATATTTGAAACACTACAATTTACAATATTGGCCATATTCAATATATTTCAAAATATGTTTCAATAAATATATATATATATATATATATATATATATATATATATATATATATACACTGTGTGTTGAAATTACTTTTCTATTACAAATTATATGAAAAATATTTTTAAAAATACATTTTTAAATATTCTGTGTGTCTTTAAAAATACATTTCAACATGCAGTATTGACATAAATTTGAAATACTACAAATTTGGCCGTATTCAATATATTTCAAAATATATTTCAATACATATATATATATATATATATATATATATATATTGAAATGTGTTTTTCATATATTGCAAAATATATGAAAAATATTTTTAAAAATATATATTTTTTAAATATATTCTTCAGATTTTTTTTAACATATAAAGAAGTAATTTTAACATATATTTTTGCATATATTTGCAAATGCATTCCAAAAATGTAGAATAAATGTATTTTTAAAGACATACAGTATATTTGAAAATTTATTTTTAAAAATATTTTTTCATATACTTTGTGTAAAAACACATTTCAACATACATATATATATATATATATCTGTATGTTGAAATGCATTTTTATTACAAAGTATATGAAAAATATTTATATAAATATATATATCTGTATATATATGTGTGTGCGTGTGTGTGTGCGTGCGTGCGTGTGTGTGTGTGTCTGTGTGTGTGTATTGAAATATTGGGTGATTTCTGTTATCATTAGGATTTAAAAAGGAGCCAAATAACTATGTGATAATAAATGGCTTCATATGATCACTATCCTTAAATAAAAGACAGTTTTTGCCAATGCCAAAATTTGACAATTTCTGCCAGGGTATGCAAACTTTTGAGCACAGCTGTGTATTCAGAGGCAAGCCCAGGGGGGAGTGTTCCTGGTGAGTCCAAGTACCTGTCACTGTGACACAGAGAAGGTCCAACTCTGGGCTTAGTGCTCCCCCAAGGGACCCCTCCCAACCTTGAGGCCCTGAAAAGCAGTTGTGCCTGCCTTTTTCTGATTTCTTCTTTTTGGTGAAAATATATATATATATATTTATTTATTGATATATATTTTAAATATATTGACTACACCAAAATTGTAGTATTTCAAATATATGTCAATACATTTGGGAAGAATATTTTTCAAATGTATTTCAAATGTATTTTTCTTCCATGTGGGTTCTGCTTTAAAATAGTAAAATGACTTTTGAAATGACATTAGCATTTTAAAGCTAATATGGGATTTATTGCGATTTATTGGTTGTGTTTCTCTCTACTTTAAGATAAATATAAGATCTGATTTTCTATCAATTTTAATAAACAGATTATACAACGAGTACCATAAAGAGCATTGTCTACTGTCAGCCCATTTTCTTGAAGTGGCTATAGATGCACTTACATGCGTTCATAAAGGAAGAGGGACTCGGAGCATTTCCACAGTTTACAGCCGAAAAAGCTCATTTTTCATCTTAAATGTAACTGGAGATTGGCAGTTACACTGTAAGCGCTTCCAAAAGACTGCAGAGGGGCTTGTTTGCCAGAGTTCAAATCTCTGGTGGTCTCCTCGCTGCTTCATCTCCTGAACTAATGTCAGATTTCTTTAAGCTAACAATCAAACATTGCTGGTGGTTCGCTGCAAAAATAAATAGCTGAGAGAATTACTCGGTTAAGTGTTATTTAAAGCCTGAAAGCGCCTGGATTCTTGTCAAAGAATGCCACCAAATAATATATTCACTCCTTGAAGGAGACAGAGGCAATTAGAATCATTATGAATTTATGATGGTGCTGATGGCCATGATGATGATGGTGCTGATGGTGAAATAATGATAAAAGCTCACTCGCATAGGAGAAAATAATGTGCCTTTGCCTGAACGAGCCGCGCTACAATTACTGCAGTGTGGATACAAACAACATCCAAATAATTAAAGACCTTACAGGCACTGAGCTATTTCCTAAAGGAGACTCAAGCGTATTTGCAGTAAAGTATCCTTTTGTAGTTTTTTTCTTTATTATATATTCTGCCTGAAAGTAATTTCTGCAATGGCTTTCTTTTTTTTTTTTATTACCATAGTTTCCTAATTATATTTTATGTGTGTAGAGGCTGTAGGGGCTCCCACTAGCGGCTATTGGCATGTCAGGCATATTAACCTCTTATACCGCCCCCCCGCCCACCATATAAGGAAATGACGGGCACAAGGCGGTTCTCACGTTCTGGGAGGACGTCAAATGATGTCCTCCCACTCTAACCGCGCGTGCGCAGCTCCGGGAGCGCGTAGTGCGGCGATTGGTGGTGCGCTGTGTCTCCCGGACACAGCGGATCACCGATCAACGGAAAGAGCCGAAGCCAGTCATGTGATTAGCTGATCGCATGTAAATAGGGAAATGCCAGTTATCGGCATTTCTCAGAGGGGACATGTACACTGACCATCATGGCACTGATGATCAGCGTGCCCTGATGATCAGTGTAGCCCCAGCAGTGCCACTTGTCAGTGTACATCAATGCCAGCTGTCAGTGCTCAACAGTGCCACATCAATGCCACATATCAGTGCCTACCAGTGCACATCAATGCCACATATCAGTGCCCATCTGAGCAGCATTTGACCCCCCCCCAGCAACAATAGACCCCCCAGCAGCAACAACAGATCTCCAAGCAGCCAGCAACAACAGACTTCCTTTCTCAACAGTAGATCCCTTCCAGCAACATTTGACCCCCCCAGCAACAATAGATTTCATCAGCAACAATGGACCCCTGCAACTAAATACCACCCAGCAACACTAGACCCCCCAGCAGCAACATCAGATCTCCCAGCAACAACAGACTTCCTTTCTCAACAGTAGATCCCTTCCAGCAACATTTGACCCCCCAGAAACAATAGATTTACTCAGCAACAATGGACCCCTGCAACTAAATACTACCCAGCAACAATATACCCCCCAGCAGCAACAACAGATCCCCAACAACAACAGACTTCCTTTCTCAACAGTAGATCCCTTCCAGCAACATTTGACCCCCCAGCAACAATAGATTTTCTCAGCTACAATGGACAATGCAACTAAATACTACCCCAGCAACAATAGACCCCCCAGCAGCAACAACATATCTGCCAGTAGCCAGCAATGACAGACTTCCTTTCTCAACAGTAGATCCATTCCAGCAACATTTGAGCCCCTCAGCAACAATAGATCCCCACCAGCAACAATAGACCGCCATGCAAAAATAGATCCCCCCATCCCCAATATACCTTCTAGCACACCCCAGAACCCCTTGCCATTACATACATTCAGTGCTGGAGGTGCTGGAACTGCATTCCCCTGCATTGCTGCTGAAATAACGCCCCAGAATCTTATATCCAAAATAAGGACAATGCATGTAACATGGTGCCAACACCTCGTATCCTTACCAAAAATGTACTTTTAAGGTGCCCCACAGAACACCACAACACAAAAGTTAAAATCAATGGGGGGATACATTCCCCTTTGTAATCATTAATCGTACAAACACTAAATCTGCATACATATAAAAGAAACTACATGGTCAAACTTCCTCCCTATGAAAGAAAAATATTCTCTGCTTCTACTATTCTTGATATGGGGTGACAGATCCCCTTAATATCTTTTTCATTCATCATAGTTATATAATATTGTGCTTCATTATTGGTCTTCCTCTGCACGTTTCGAAGGGGTTGATGCCTGCTTCCTCAGTAGGATCCAAAATAAAGAGGTCAGTTGCTATGTGGTATAGCCTACTATTGTAAGAAAAGAGAAAAAAAACAGAAAAAATAAACATATCAAATAATATGCAATAGAAATATAGGTATAGGACACATAATACATACAATAAAATTATGACAAATAAAAGCAAATAAATAAATGAGAACATAAAATGTGTAACCATGCAGCTGCCCTAATAGTGGATAATCCAATAATCACCTCATAAAACAATGACAAATAAAAGCAGCGCAAAAAAAAAGGTGAATCACAATAGCAAAGGGAATGTGATACAAAATATAACACTTCAAAGAATATACAAAGAATATACACAAATATTTAAATCATTTGACATAAGTCCACAAACTGAAAAATGAAAATTGTGATGAAGTTCAAAGTCCTTATTGATCCACCCAGGGGCGGACTGACAACTCATGGGGCCCCCAGGCAATAGGGGATCATGGGGCCCCTGTATCCTTGCCCAAACTCAAAAAAGCCTATGAAAAAGGTGCCAGGGGCATCTCATGGGATCCCCTACTGACCCTGGGCCCTCGGTCAGTCAGTCCGATCTGGATCCACCGAGATCACCACGTGAACAACATAAGGATACTTGATTGAATGAAATGCACTCAGATATCACCACGTGCTCCAGAGGAAAACCTCCCCCATTTCAGTGGCACTCACCAAATATCGTGGCCCATCCAACAAAACAATTATATGGTACTCTTTCATCTATTTTTGGTTTGGTGCTCTTTTCTGTATTTCTTTCTTTGGCAATATTTTTATTGTTTTCACAATGAACAAAATTACAAACATTTGTTCCGCTTCACAGGTCGGATGACAAGCTGCAATAAGTAGTAGTAGGCCACACGACATACACAATATATGACAATGAAGAGTCTTAGATATATGGTGGTGTCTACAACCCAGACACTTGGGGTATGATGGACATGATAGGCTCAGGTTTGATCTTCTGACATCTGAGGTTCTGGGCAGGCAAATCCACTAATACAGCCTTTCTCAACCTTTCCAATGTAGAGGAACCCTTGAAATAACTTTACAATCTCAGGGAACCCTGCTAAAAATGACTATATCTACAACTCATGATACATCAATGTGATGGTCAGTTGAAAGATTGCTCCTTATACTTGTGGTTATTGGGAAGAAGTATCTCCTTACAGAAAGCTAAAAAGATCAATGGTGTCAATGGGAACTTGTCTCAGAGGGATAAATTGTTCCTTGCTCAAGGAGCCCCTAGCAACCTCTGGAGGAACCCTGGTTGAGAAATCCTGCACTAACCTATGGCCATCATACTGCAATCTCATGTAAAGCAGAACAATGGAGGGATGACTGATAATCCAAAATATTTAAAAAAAGGATAGAAGAGGAAAGAAAGGTGAAGAGAAGGAAAAGCAGAGGAGAGGGCACTGGAAGTTGCTCCCCTCAGCTTGGGGCCTTGTCACCTGTCCCCTGCCCAGGGGCGGACTGACAACTCATGGGGCCCCCAGGCAATAGGGGATCATGGGGATCTTGTGTCCTTGCCCAAACTCAAAAAGCCTATGAAAAAGGTACCAGGGGCATCTCATGGGGCCCCCTACTGACCCAGGCCCTCGGGCAGTGCCAGAGTTTCCAAATGGTCAGTCCGCCCCTGCCCCAACCCTAGCTTTATGCAGGTGACTGTATGTATTATATCCAGAGATTTAAGATCTTTTCAAAACTAGTTTGACTGTCCTTTTTAAATTTCTATGCTTTGAGCTACTGTAGGGTACTCATTGTGGGAAGAGTTGCCTTGTGGGAGCTATCTCGCCAAAGCTATTGATCTTCTTTGAAGTTTTCCTTCCTCAGGCTAGACATACAACTTTGCACCAGGGGCAGACTAACCATTTGGAAACTCGGGCACTGCCCGAGGGCCCAGGGTCAGTAGGGGGCCCCATGAGATGCCCCTGGTACCTTTTTCATAGGCTTTTTTGAGTTTGGGCAAGGATACAGGGGCCCCATGATCCCCTATTGCCCGGGGGCCCCATGAGTTGTCAGTCCACCCCTGCTTTGCACGCACCTCTTTTAATATGTTTTTCTACAGTTTAAACGGCATGGTCTGCAGTTTCCCAGACCTACTGTATATTTACACCCTGCTCTGTTGTAAACAAACGGCTCTCAGGATACAGAGTTGGGGGCATTTTACTAAAGCAATTGCATATTATTTAACGGCCAATTTGCATGGAAAATTGTCAGCCTGAATCGTTTGGTCTATTTTGCAACTAAAGCAACAGATTTAGGGGGGACAGTTATTAATACTGTCTTAATCACTGTAATTTTTAATATTTTATATTGAAAATTAGAATCAGATTTATTATCTGTATGCAAGTTACATAATAAATTATAATATTCCTGCATGTTTAAAAAGTGCTCCTTAGCACCTCTTAAAGTGGTTGTAAAACTCAGAGATGAAATATAAACAAAGCATATCACTCTATAATGTGTACAGCATTTGTCTCTGTTAGGAGCACTAAGTGTCATTTCTGTCTGCTGCTTCGTTCCTCTTCTATCCGCTTGAGTCACTTCTGCCAAGTTTCCTGACGCCAAGAGAAAAATGGTGACAGGGGAGGGACCTCCAGCAGATTGACAGTCTCAGCTCTGTTCCTGTGAGCTGTATGAAGGGGGGGTGTCTCTTCCTTCCAATCAGCTGTCAGAACTCTCTTCACTAAGCTCTGCAGTGTGTATTTTCAGCTTTCCGCCCCCTTTTTTCTGCAGCTCAGACAAGCTTATAAATTCTGGACTTTGAAAAAATGCAAAGAGGAGAAGACTGTAGATAGGCAGGTACAACTTATGTAGGAGGATTTGTTTCATCATCTGTGTATCGCCTGAGGCCATTCACTTCCCTGGGTACATGTAAGGGTTAGGTCCTGCCATAGATGTGAGGTTAAATTAAAGCGGAACTTCACCCAAAAGGGGAAGTTCTGCTTGTCTGCCTCCTCCCTGCCTCCTTTTTAAATGTTGTCACTTTGTTTTTTTGGGGGGGAGCAAACACCTGGTTTTGACAGGCAGCAGCTCCCACTTCCGGTTGGATCGTCGAGCCAATCTAATTGGAAGATCAACCCCCTCCTTTCTCCCCAACCTTCTGGGACATGCTGCAGAGTGCAGGGTGGCTTGCACATGCACAGTGGCAAGCCGGGAGCAGGCACAGCCTGCTTCCCAAGTAAATATACCAGCTCCTGGACCTGAAGATGGCTGAAGAGCTGGCTCAGGTGAGGACAGCGTTGGATCCCTGGACAAGTAAGTGTCCTATTATTAAAAGTTAGCAGCTGCAGGATTAGCTGCTGACCATCAAGTTTTTTTTATAAAGAACAACTGAAAAATTGCTTTTAACTCCCAAAAAAAGGTGTTTTCAGTTGAGACAGAAGAGAGAAAATAGGCAGAGAGCTGCTTTTTTGGCCACATTATTACGCAGAACTAAATATGTTGCTTTGATCAGCAAATATGCGATTTCTCTAATAAATGCCGACTAGGCGACTGTAGGCCACGCTGATCTAAACAGGTCTTACCTTCACTAAAGGCAGCTCTCCATACTGGCATTTTACCGAGGCTGCAGAATCACATACAAATCCATTCTACATAGAAAATGTGAATTTATTTTTCCACTCCAAAGTGAAATAGGAGTGACCTCTACAAGAGCTTAAAAAGTTTTCAAAAGTTTTGAAAAATCATGAAAGTTTTCTATTTAGTTTTTTTTAAAAAAAAAAAGCCCACAAATGAGATCCTGTCATTTCAAGCTATCTGTCTGTATGTGAACTCGCAATACAACTTGATAAGAAAACTGTCAGGTTTAATGAAGAAAAACAACCAGACAAACTTAGCCAAAAGAGTTTTCTTCTCTCCCCATGCCA